AATGTTTATATATATATATATATATGTGTGTGTGTGTGTGTTTGGGTAGTTATTGGTTGGTTGATTTTGTTTAGTGGCATATCAACGTCTATGGTTTTAATGCTGAAATCTAAATATTTTAAACAATTTTATGGCTTCAACTAGTTATAATTTGAACACAAAATGTATGTCTTCAGCTACAGATAAAATGTATTGTTGGTCATTTTGCTATAAAATATATTGCTAGTAATTTCACTATAAATAAGTATTTTATTATAATAATGTATTTTTATACTTTCATAGTGTTTTGTTTTTGTTTGGCGGTTAACTATTTGCCCATAGCTGAGACCCTAACAGGTGCTACCACTCCAGGTCAGGGTGGACCTGGGAACAACAGCAATTAAGAGATTGTTCCATGCTCTTTAAAAGCTCCAATCTTCTGATCAGAGGCCTTGCTGGCAGATGCAGTTTGTTGTCATACCCAGGACTTGTGTGTTGATATAGTAGGCTGCTGAAAGAAATTTGTGAGATAAAATAAAACAACAAAAATGATAATATTGATAATAAGACTAATAATATTTATTGTATATTATTTGGCCTTTGGATCAAATGGAAGCATGTTGAGAAAGATGTTAACAATCAAAATTTTCAAACATGCCTGTGTCCTTTCTCAGTGGAAAGGACACAGGCATGTTTATAAAAAATGATTATATATCTTAACACTCATTTTAACAGTTATTGAAATAAAGTAAATGGCAGACCTTCCTAAGCATTTTTCAATCACTAAAAAAGCTCATGCTCACTCTTTGGATATTCTCTTTGAATTCTCTTATTCAGTTCATCCCATAATGATTCAATGGGAGAAAGGTCAAGAGATTGAGTTAACAAACAACACTAAAAAATAGTAACAAAACTGCATTCGGATCCACAAATATTTCTACATAATATCTTGAAGAATAATTTGAAACATAACTATTACCACCCACCAAATAACCATTAAAAATTTTCCTTGTCCATCACAGTCAGGAAACATATATAAAAAATTGTTGCTCAGATATATATATATATATATATATATATATATATATATATATATATATATATATATATAGGTATTAAACATCCATGTTTACTCCTTATATAAAATTGGATGAAATATTTTCACATATTTTTTTATTTACTTGGCATGTAGAAGGACAATAAAATTTTAGAAAAAATATTTTTCATTCAATTTTTATATATATATATGTATATATATATATGTACATACACAGGGTGCGATGGATAAATTGTCGTCTGATTTATGCAAAAATTAAAATAACACTGATATCTCATTTTAACAGATATATTTAATAATATCACACAAATATATCTTGAAATACTAAAGAGTAAAATTATTCAATAAAATATAATAAAAATATAATCCTTGCCTTTAGTTTTTCTTTGGAGTTTTGTTGATCTCTTGCTCAACTGCTACTGGATTCTCCTGCTTGGGTGGCATGGTGCAGAGTCCTGTTGCCAGATATAGCATCTTCCAGCAGCCACCCTCTTGTCCCAGGCTACCTCCTCAAAGCACTTGATATAGTTCTCTCTGTTGAATTTGAGTCCCTGTGGGAAGATGAATGGAGGTATAACATTGCAATCACTAGGGATCACTCCAAACACTTTTGTAATCATCATTAGACTTATCCAACTCTTTTTGAATCCTCTGCACTATGCTCAGATTGACACCCATACATTCTAAAATGTTCATATTGGAGCTTCCAGTGTGAATGCCAAGCAGTACAGCATTCCATTTCCAAATTTCTAGTGGAGTAAATTGCATCATGGTGCTCTTTTTCTCACAGACAGTGCTCAATTGACCTGACTATACTGTACACTCAACAAAATCAAAACCAAACAACACACATGCATGAAATTAAAAATATAACATGGCGACAATTTATCCATCACAACCTCTCTCTCTATATATAAGCAACTCACAAGTTCAGTTCTAGAGATTACTGGTGGCTCTGCAAGAGTGTGCTGAACAACAGCAAATACTCAATCCCTCCTCTATTCAATCAATTTGAAGTCCTGACATCTACAGCAGATAAGCTTGAATGCTTTGCTCAGAAATTCTCTTCCAATTCAACTCGACACATTTGAAGTACCCACACCTGATTTCCCCCTTAGAACAGAGGCTCTACTGAATGATATGTGCATAACCCCATCACTGGTCTCAAGACATCATTTCTAAATTAGACTCCAATAAGGCAAGTGGAGATGACAAGATTCCAGCCATCGTCCCAAAGAAATGTGCTCCTGAGCTGGCTCCAGTTCTCTCCAAACTCTACAACTGTTGCCTTGCTGCTTCCTACTTTCTAGCTCTTTGGAAATTCTCCTCTGTAGTTCCTGTTTTTAAGAACTCTGGAGAACCTTCTGTCTCCTCTATTGCCCTATTAGCCTCCTACTGCTTTTTGACAAAATATTCAAGCCTTTAATCAATAGTGAAATGGTTAAGCATCTTACTGCTCTGACAAACAATATGGCTTCTGTTTTGCTAGATCTACTGCTGATATGCTAATGGACATCACTGAATATGTACAATAACAGAAAATCTTGAGCTATGGCTCTAGATATCATGAAGGTGCATGACAGGATATAGCATGCTGCTCTTCTATGTAAGCTCCAGGGCTATGCTATTACAGAATGATTGTTTTATTTAATTCAGTTGTTCCTATCAAATCATGAAAAGGCTCACTTCCAGATCCTTTCATATGAACATGGGTGTACCCTAAGGCCCTATCCTGGTTCCTACACTATTTCTGATCTTCATCAGTGATCTTCTTGATGTCATTTGTTCCCAAGTAGACATTTATGCAGATGACACTACCATTTACTCCTGTCTCAATAGCAAATCTTTCAGAGCAGACAAAGTTAACCTGGCTGCTGCTCTTGAAAAGGATCTGCAATCAGTGGTTAATTGAAGCAGGAAATGGCTTGTAAATTTTAATGCCTTCAAAATGAAACTGCTCTCATTTAACCATCATAGAAAATCTTTTCTGCCTACCATCAGCATGGCTGATGCTAGACTCTTAGAGAGGAACACATTGCTTCTTAGCCTCACTTTTTCAACTGAGGTGAAGTGGAATGACTACATCAAATCAATAGCTGCATATACTGCAAGAAAAGTTGGGTCACTGTGTTGTGCCAGAAAGTTTTTCTCATCAGAGTCCATCTTGCACATTTACAAATCTACCATTGATCCATGCATTGAATATTGTTGCAATATTTGGTCTGGTGCTCCTGCTATTCATATAGAGTTTTTTGACAAAATCCAAAGAAGGATCTGCAATGTAATCAATCCTGAAATGACATCTTGACTTCAGTCAATGTGACATGGCTTCCCTCTGTCTTTTCTACAAATATTTTCATGGCAACTGCTCTGATGAGCTTTTTACCCAGGTGTACTGACTACACAAATTTAAGTGTGCTACTAGATTGGCATCTAGATCCCACCCTTTTTCTGTTGAAAGAGTTAAATGTAACTATCACTTCTATGCCAACATCATTTCTTTGCTTGGGGTGAAATGTTTAGAAAAGAAATAAAAAATATTTTAGTGATTGCATGTTTACAAAAGGATATGTATTTATGTCTGTATAGTTATCTCTGTGTGTTTGCTGAAATGTGTATACATATGTCTTCACATGTGCAAGTGTGCCTGCACATGTGTGTGTGTGTGTGTGTGTGTGTTTATATGAATGCATGAGTGTAAAGCCATTTTGCCATTCATCTATAGAAATTTATCAGAAAAATGACAATTACTAAATCTTTTTGTGAATGAATTGCTTGACATAAAAAAAATTCCCAAACAACACCAAATAAGAAAGTATTTTGGGGATTTGTGATGCTTTTTTAGAAGTAAAAATCATTTTTCTTGAATTTAGAACTTGCAATATTAAAGAAAGTATCACTTTGAAAACACTGATAAATTATAAAATCAACAATAAGAATAATAATTGTTAAAATAATTAAAAAATAATCTAAAAAGTCACTGTATTTAAGAACAAATTTGTAATTTGTATGGAAGTCTAATAAAATAGCCACACCTAAAAAAATGGGGCTACAAGCAAAAATTTAAATTATATATTCTACTTCTGCTGTGTTTTACCACAGCTCTCTTTTCCTTTTTCTTTGCCTCACCTTCTCTTTTTTCTTCCCCTCTTTCTGTCTTACTTTCTTTATTTCTTTACTTCCTCATTTTTTCTTTCCCTCTCAGTTTTCCTTTCTCTTTTTTATCTTCCCAAAAACTCTCTTCCTTTCCTTCTCTCTCTTTCTCATTTTTTCTTTCTTTCTAGCAAATGTTTTCTTTGTCCCTTCACTCCTCCTTTCTTTGTTTTTCTCACTTCTTCACTTTTTCTTTCTTCTCGCTCTCTCTGTTCGCCTTTTCTCTTCCTTGTTTCCTCTATCTCTCTTTCTCACTCTCCCTTGCTTTCTCATCCTCTCACTCTCTCTCACACACACACATAAAATTCTATTCCATTTACTCTGTCCGGCAGTTGCATTCTTCTTTAAAAAGACGTAAATCTATTCTTTCAAGTACTAGGGAACTTATCATTTTGAGGTGGGGCCAATGATGTATATGGTTTTTTAATTGTTTTTTGGTTCAATTTGGAATTGTCTTTTGTAATAAATATGTTCCAGTGCATTCAGTAAACCAAAGAAATAATTTCTCTAAATGAAGTTAGACAGAAGAAAAAAAAGTGAATTGGATTTGTGTGTTCCCTCATATCGATACAATAAGCTATGGAAATTTTCTGTAAGTTATCAATGTATAGTCTCATGACATTAAATCAATTTATCATTTCTTCCACAGAATTTCAAAACATACATTTTTCATACTTAAAATCATGAATAATAGAAACATTACAGAAATTCATACAAGATATAATTGTTTTTGGAAGACTGATAAATTGAATATATAATTTTTGTATATGTTTTAACGTGTTTATTGTGTTAAGAGATTTTTTATATAAACAGGAATAAGGATAGATAGATAGATAGATAGATAGATAGATAGATAGATAGATAGATAGATAGATAGATAGAAATGATTGAGATCAATAAATAAAAGGATGCTAAGAATATCATGGACTGAACATGTGAGCAAGAATAAAGTTTTAAAGAAAATGGAAACACAAAGGACATTTATACTTAACATCAAGAAGAGATAGTTGAAATTTCTAGGGCACATAATGGAAAAGTGGGCTTAGAAAATTTAACACTCACAGGAATTACTGAAGGCAAGAGGGACAGAGGAAAACAGAGTATAACCTAGGTAAGAAGTTTGTGTGAACTGTTGGCAGGCAAAACAGGGATTAGGAGAGATAGTGAAAAGACAAAATTTAATAAGAGCTACAAAGAACAGGAAATTGTGGAGAGCCATGATCGCCAACGTTTTGAAGTGATAAGGCACATAGAAAAAGAACATTTTTATAGTCATTTATATCCAATGATGAACAACTTCTTATTTTTACCATAATGGGCTTGCACAGCCAGTCAACAATGCTGAAACAATACAGCAGGGTAAGTGCTAGGAGAACAGTTATTATACTATCCAGCATATTGTTTATATAGATCTATCTGCCTATCTATGGCTGTTCATGTCCATATCTCTGTATATCTATCTATCTATCTATCTATCTATCTATCTATCTATCTATCTATACCTATTCATATATCCATGTCTGTTTATATCTATCTATCTATACCTATTTATATATCCATATCTGTTTATATCTATCTATTTATACCTATTCATATATCCATATCTGTTTATATCTATCTATTTATACCTATTCATATATCCATATCTGTTTATATCTATCTATCTATCTATCTATCTATCTATCTATCTATCTATCTAACTATGGCTATTCATATCCATATCTGTTTATATCTATCTATGGCTATTCATATCCATATCTATCTATCTATCTATCTATCTATCTATCTATCTATCTATCTATCTATCTATCTATCTCAGTCTGCTCTCTCCATATATATGTATATAACGCACACACATGCTTTTTCCAAACCAGCATAAATATATATAGTAGCATACAATACCCGTTTTGTTATATATTATTATCATAATGTGTGTTGTGAATATAATTTCGCTTAGTTTGTACTGCAGAGTATCTAATTGAAACCAAAATGATGGCATCTATGAGATGTATCACCCCATCTTTTGAAAAGGAGTAGAATTTTATCACTTGTTTCCTGCTTAGGATTGAGTTCCCAGTTGCTTTTTTTCATTCTCCTTTACTTCCAGTAGCCTCTTGTGCCTTGCTTGGGGTGAAATGATAAACAAAAAGTATCTTTATAGTCATTTATTTCCAGTAAAGTATGATTTCCTATTTTTCTGAAAATGGGCCAGTACAACTAAGCAACTATGCCATAACAATGCAGCAGTGAAAGTTTTAATAGAGTTATTATTATACTAAATAAGCAAGAAGTAAATAACACCCTTGAAACTGCAGTTAATCTGCATATGTGCTTTTCTATCTTCAACTGAGCTAATTTCCTATTTTTTAAAATTTCAAAACAGGACTATATAAAATATGACTGGTGGTTCTAAATTACAAACCCCAAAAAATCCAGTTTTTCAACAATTTTAATTTGAAAATTGTTTAAGTTAATCATTTTGAGAATTAAGGGGCAATCTCGAAAATTAAAAAAAAACTTCATAGCTTGATGAAAAAAGTGCAAGTTCTATTCAAAATTTTTTTGTTTCTTCCATATTCTTACCTGTTGAAATCTTTCAATTTTTTTTGGGGATATTTTTTTTGCAATTTTTTAATCGTTCTAAATGAACGTCTGAAATTTTCGTTAAAAATATTGTTTTTTTTTTGGTCAAAAAAAGGACAGATAATCATTTTCAATCATTTTTTCGATTTGATAAAAAGATTAAAATCTGACTTTGATATTCTTTTAAAAATCAATTATCATTTTTTCAAAACTGATTTTAATAAAAACAGAAATTATACTGTTTATTTAAAATATTTTGAACCAAGCTTAACTTAGCTTCTGCGCCGAAAAAATGTAATTTGAAAATAAAACAAAAGGTCATAACCTTTCGCGTCGCTTGACGATTGACGAAAGGCACATTCATGACGTTTAGATAACTTACGGGAGGATAATTCTTTCTACGGATGGAAGGAAGTGAAATTATTTAAGTGAACAAATTATTTACCTTGTTGCTTTTAAGGAAAACTTTCAGCGCTCTAATTTTTTTTTTTTTTTATTTTTTTTTTTGTACTTAGCTTTCATTTTTACGTTTACGATGCTTTATGGAAAATATAAAGAAATTAAAAAATAAGACTGTTAATAGTGAGATTAAATTTCATAAGAAAAAGGTATCTAATTAATTTAGGTACCTTTCTTATGAAATTTTATCAGAAAAGTGTACATAAAATACTATAATTTTATGTACATTTATTACATTTTACTGTGTTATTTGTATTTCCATTCATTTTATTATTAATTTTGATATTTCATTTATGGAAAAATGTCATAACTGAGATTAATATAAAAATAAGATCATATAAATTAAAGTTTAGCAGTAGTTAAATTTCATAAGATGATACTGTTACTTGTAGGTACCCTTCTCAGTTGAAATTGAAAACTCAAATTAACTTCTCCATACGTGTTTCGTAAAAGTAAAGGGCTTAACAGTGGAGAACAATGCTGAACTCAAATAATGCAACTAAATTGTATTCTGGTTGGTCTTCCGTACTTGATAATTACTGTCTGACTATAAACACAAAAATTACATTTCTTAATTACCATGGCTAATCTGATTGGTCCAAATAATACAATTTTCAAAGCGCTAGACAATGACAATCTCACATGGACATTTTGAAAGGTTGATGTTGCTTTTAACTAATGTTAAAATATTTTTAAAAATTCAATTTAAACATTTTTTAAAAATCTTTTTAAAATTAAAGAAATAAGAAATAATTGTATTAAAAATTCAATTTTCATTGAAAAAATTTTTTGCTTTCAGAAAATATTGTCCATATTCATAAAAACAAATTAAAACAAATAAAAGCATTTGAAACTAAATAATATATTTGTTTTATTGAGTTTTTGTATGTTACAATTCACAGCTGATTTTTTCAGGTACGTTGGCCAAAAAAAAAAAAAAAAAACATGATTTGCATTCTTCAAAGCCTTGTGCTTTTAACTATTGTAATCACTAAAACCGATGGTCTCGAATTTCTAGAGTTTTTCATAAAATTAGTTATGGGGGTGTTAATAAATATAAAAAAAAATATTTCTGCCATGACTTTAATAAAAAAAAAAAACATATTTATAATAATTTCGATCATCTGTGAATAGTTTCTGAAAGTTTCATTAACATCTGACAATTATTTTTATTTTTGCAAGATTTTCCAAATTAATGTGTGTAAATACAAAAAAAAACGCTAAAAATTATCTATGTTATTTACTACCCCTTGTTGCGACAAAGAGAAACAAGGTTTTTTAAATCAAAATTTAGAATATTCTAAAAAGATGGAAAAATTTTAAAAATAATTAAAAAAAATTTAGTCTATCCTCTTCATAAAAACATAAGCATTTTGACGATAAAATTTTGTTTTCATAAACTTTGGCGTCTTTTTCATCAGACTATGCTCTATGTTTTAGCGATTCCGTGGAGTGACTTAGGTAAAAAAAAAACCCAGGTTGTTTGTGTGTGTGTGTGTGTGTGTGTGTGTGTGTGTTTATATATGGGATCGGATTTCTTACATTTTTTCAGCTGATAAAACAAACATCCACTTTTTTTTTTCGGCAGGTAGTATTTCTTATTGTCTTGCACACTTTTTTCTTTATTTACATTCAGAATGCTTTAAAAATTCCATTTACAAGACAATTGTTTATAATAAAATTCTATTCACCAATCGATAGACTCATAACAATTGTAAACAATGTTTTTGTTTGAATTTGGGTTTGACCAATTCGTAAAAAAAAAAAAAAAAAAACTAATTAAGACATGCGTGTCCGTCAACCTTAAACAATAATCTTTGTCAATTTTATTTTTCAGTCTTTATGATGGTCGATACTTGATCTATCTCTTACTGTTACATCCCCGGGCAACGCCGGGCTCTACTGCTAGTAAATGATAAGCTATTCAATTGCAATTTTCTGTTTCCTTGAATCTTGTTCTTTTATTAACCTTTCTCCTCACTAAAGGCTTCCTATTCTCTTTCACTCCCAGTAACCCCTTGTGTCTTAGTGGCTTATTGCCTTGCTTGGAAGGAAATGATTAAAAGAAAATGAAAATATTAGAATCAAAAAGTTTATTTACTGAATGAGGGCAACATCTATCTGCTCAATTAGGATGAAAGCTCATTCATTCTGCACAGATGTAAGTAAACAATAGTTATCTATATGGAACGTCCTTAATTGTACAGTTTCAAATTAATAGCTGTATCCCTGTAAAGTTGATTTGACAAGTACTTGGAATGTACTGTATCTTCTTGCAGAATATCAGTAGGAAACTAACTTGAAATTTATCAATACTCAAGTAATAATTCACATAATTGATATTTTTACATATGAAAATGCAACTTTATTACCTAAACTGAAAACTTTTTTATCTCTTTTGATGACTAAATACAACAAATTTTCTTAAAATTTTTATTTTCCAGTCACATGTGACAAGAATGATAGCTACTACCTTGTAACAACTGTGTATGTTAGGGTCAAAGTTGAAAACATCCTTTTGAGATCTGGTTCACTTTTATACAGGGTGTACAAAAGTAGTTATACAGTAATGAAAAACAAAATATACACAAAATGTATTGTATTTGATTATACAAACATATCAATATAATACATAATAATGTATACTTACTTTTGAGTGCTACAGGAATGGACTTGAAGATAGATTTAAATAACTTTGATAAAAAGCCAAATTTTTGTGGTCAGAGGACTCAGAATATCTCTGAAATGACATGCTTTGTTGGAAGCTCACATTCCATTGTGATGAGTACCTGTTGACAGTGATGTGATGAAGGGAAAATCACTTATCACTGACAAAGCATTGACAACCAATGTATCAAGAGATACAAGAACTTTCCTACCAATTACCAGCCAAGAGAAAAGCTTCTGTAACACAAATATAGATAGCTTTAATCAAGATAAATAAAGGAATGCATCACGATACACAGTACATTGATCCTTGTTGTATATGGGTTGCTGAACAATTTCCTTACTGTTCAAGAACAGACTCAAAGTGACTGGTTTTACAGATGGATGCTAAGAATACCATGGAGTGAATATGTGATCAATGAGGAAGTTTTACAGAAAATGGGAATTAAAAGTACACTTCTTAAAATCAGAAAGAGATAGTTGAAATTTCTGAGACACATTAGGAGGAAAAAGAGCTTGAAAAATTTAACGCTCACATGGCATATTGAAGGCAGGAGGGAAACAGTAATAAGTTTACTTAATGATATTGTGTACATGGATGGTAAAAAGTTGCTAAGAGATAGAGTGGACAGCAATTTGTGGAGAGCTATGACCACCCAGATTCTGAAGGGACACAACTGAAAAAGAAAGAAGCCACAGGCCAGTAAGAATAGCAATGTCTATCACCAGAGGCATTGAGCATTAGAAATGATCCTTATATCAATGGAAGAAGATCTGATTCAATGAACCTCACCAGTGGAGATGTACGTCATTATGTTGGAGAAGTGATGACACCAGGATGCACGTTTCAACTTCTATATTTATACTTGTGATATCACTGGCTTTCTCTGGTAAGATATTGCAAATTCAATTAAAGTTATAAATATAAATGCACATATGAATTACATAGTGTAAGGCAGATTGTTTACCAAACCTCTTCACAATATCTATAATTTCACTTTATAATCTTTCTTCACAATGGTGAATATACACACCTACTAATGGCTGCAGCAAATTTAGTCATAATGTGATTATTTACCTGTGAGAAGCACAGGGAAACTGGGTAGCAAACATTAATCACAGCTGAAGCACATCAAGGGAATTTAATTACTCACAGACTTTTCTGATAAC